CTATTGTCATTACTATCTTGTTCTCTGCCTAAGTTAACATGTCATCTAAACTTTGACTCATCACCTCAGCACTCTTTCATTACAAGCCCTCCCTTAAAAAGCGGGTTACCAGGCTTTCCCTTTTTCCCTGTGTGCACGTTCAAAAACAGCCACAGAGACTGTCCCCCCTAGGCTAAGACTGGCCTATATATGTTCATCAGAAATCTGTATTGAACATTTCACTGTCACTACATGCACACCACATTCCACAGCACAGCGGTGAAAGTGATATGGACATAAAACCAGGGTGAGGTACAGGACAGCCCCCCTGGAGGTGGTTTGCCATCCGTTTGGTCTTCAGTATAACAAGCATGTGGGTTAACCTATTTTCTCAATTGGAAGATCTTCTCTCCAACCACTACACCACCATGCTTCCCAAACTGCCTCTTAACTGCCTCTTCCCAGGGAACCTTTGGGTGGATACTGTTGAGCCTGGATTAGCCCTTCTCACACGCACAAACACATGCACACTGATACATATACATAAACCTGCATATGCACCACTAGTCTTGTTTTATCCGCGCCTTCAGTGAGAGAAACCACTCTTTAATCATTTCATAAGATCATTTGCCTGGCAGATACGCCTCAGGCTTTTCCCATTACCCCTGGCTGCCTTGACCTAGATATGTGTGTGTGCGTGTGTGCGTGCGTGCGTACGTGCGTGCGTGCGTGCGTGCGTGTGTGTGTGTGTGTGTGTGTGTGTGTGTGTGTGTGTGTGTGTGTGTGTGTGTGTGTGTGTGTGTGTCTCTGAGTGTGTGTTTGTAGTTGATGGAGAATAGAGCCATGAGTGTAAGACCATGCATGGCTGTGTCCAGCAGTGGCTAAAATGCAAATGGACACACAGATGAGCCGACATATGCATGCAGCAGCACAACAGAGCAGAAATGAAATATTACATCGTCTTGATGATTTACTGTTAAAAGTAAGACTACATTTGCACACACTACTTTTTATCATAAATATATATTTACTTGCTATAGGGGGAAGTTGCATTGTAATCATGTTTTCTCAGGTGTTTCCCAAAAATGCAGATGGATGGTTTTGAAGGAACCTTGTGATGTCGCTAGAGAATCGAAAAAACTTCTTTGTTTGCAACTTAAGCGAAAGTTGACTAACTGGGAAAACATCTCAAGCTGAATAGCAAGCACTTTCTGTAAAACACAACAAACAGCTTCTAATGGAATTTTGTGTATTTGGTTTCAAATTGATGGGATCAAAAATTAGTTTTGACCGAACCAATGCTTAAAATGATTAGAAAATACGTCCAATGCAAATACTGCAAAACCTGATAAATGTGTATGGTTATGTGAAGCCATTTCAAAGCACGTGGTTAGGGAAGATTGAGGTCAAGGGAAAAAGATGATGCTGACTTAAAGCTGGAAACAACACATTCACTTTTTCATTATATAACCAAAACCCTACAATTTCTTAACCTTTAAGCAGCATTTGTCTTGGTAAACTATAGGATATATGAAACAAATGAAAGGGTTGATGAATATACAGAGAACTAAAGGCACTTGAAAAGGAGAAGACCTCCACCTAGTAACACGTGTTGAGTATGTCCCCCATGTGAAATGTAATGGGTCCATGCAACACTCTTCCAGCTAGTATGATGAAAATTGGGCCAGTAGTTATTAAATCCTGATTAAAAACAAACCAAACTGAACCAAACCATAAGCATAATAGCTTCCTTTTGAGGAAGCCATTTTTATCAATCTGGAATTCAAGAGGCAGAATTCATTTAAAAAATTGGTTCAATATAGTCTACCTTAGCTTACAATGTGTTGTGTTAGAAACTTTCTTTAGGCCCAAATAAGAGGTAGTAGCAATACAACGATAAAACAATTAGATTCAAGGGATTTTACGTTTTACTATCTTTTCTTCAAGCGTTTCACTGAGAAAACTCTTTCAAAACCATCTGGAAAACTTATAATTTTGAGAAGGTAAAAACATGTTTTCTCACTTTAGTTTCCAAACAGCTGGAGAAACTGTACAAGAGCTGTATGATTAATATAACAACATAAAGATTAGGTAAGCTAACTCCTGTAAGGACATTTGTTTCAAGACAGGCTCCTCTGCTGCTGAGCTGCTTAGTTTTACATGTGAATGACCTTTTTGGGACCCTGTCCCCAAAATAACTTCATAAGTAGAACAGAATTTGAATATGGGTGTTAAAAGGTTTTCCTATTTAATCCGGCCAGCTATTGAGCCAGTTGGAAAAGGTGAAGAATCAGTGGAAAAGACACGTTGTCTGTAATAATCAACCCACTTTCTTCAGTCTGCGTACAAATGACACGACTCCCACCGTGGGAGTATCATATGCACGCAAAACTCGGCCTCAGATCTCAATGGGAATGGTTAGCGTATCATATGCACGCAAAATCGGACTTCTGCGTATCTATTGCACGCATTTCCAATGTGTAAAGTCGTGTCATTTGTACGCAGACTGAAGAGAGTGGGTTGGTAATAATACTGTAGATTTAGACCATGTCATGTATTATGGTCCCCAATCTCTTCTAATGAATTGAACCCTTACCCTAACAACAGATTGCTGCACACACGTCCAACTTGCCTTTCAAATGGAAAGTCATGTCCTCCAACAGAACACGAAGCAGACAGCCAATAGTGGAGACCCTCTCAAGACCTCTCTCTCGTACAGTCAGCCTGGCTCCTGCCCCACTCGCCTCGGGACAGCAGAGTGACGGATGGAAGGGACAGAGGAGCTTTGGGTCGGGAGGAAGAGGTGAGCATGAATCAGCAAAAGCCTGAGAGACGCCAAGATGGAAGATAAAATCAGGAGATGAATAGACAGAGAAAAGGGGAAACAGACGAGTGCAGGACAAGAAGAAAACCTGGTATGTAAGTGTTGAATTTGATTCCCTGTTATATCCTGGTCTGGATAAATGTCACCAAAAGCAATACATATTAGTTTTTCTATTCTATTGCTTCTATTCTGATTTGAAAAACTATACCACTCTGAGAGGGATTGAGGGCCAGATTGAGCTTGATGTTGCTGAGGGCAATGAAGGAAGCGTGGCATGAACACACACTCCTTACCTCTACGTCACAGCCTGCAAAACAGCTCTGCCCCAAGTTCAAGGTGTTTGACAGTTGAACGCCGTCCAACTTTCTGCGTAGGAGTGTAGATTGAACGACCACAATGAGAGTCTACCAAGGGCTGGCTTGACAATACCAATTATAAAACTTAGCTTGTTAAGGATTCAAAATGTGAAAAGATGGCTTAATGCAAACTATATTCAAAACCGTTTGAAATTGCAAACAAGGGGAAGTGTAATTGCAATTGTAAGTCATTTTCAAGGGTAGAAGTTTATTCCTCATGACATATTTGGTCTAAAAGGACATTTTATGACTATATTTAAGAACTTTTTGGGAAGATCTGGGGCCTCATGTATAACGCCGTGCGTAGGATTCACATGGGAAGGTTGCTTATGTAGTAGAAATCCAAAAAATAGGTCCATACATTTTCCGATTCGCCAAACATTGCGTACCGGCGAGTAAAGTGCGACGGCACTTCCTACGCCGGTTTCCCTTTATAAATCACAACCGACTCGAAATGCGGTGCAGCTTTTGCGGGCTTCACGTAACGCCCATATTTGCCTATAAATAGTTAAAGAAACGCCCTTTCATTCATTCATTTTGACTGACTGCATGGAGAAGATCGCAGGAAATTACGACAGAACAGCTAAAAAAGACATCTCACACCGTGTCAGATTTTGATTATTTTGGGGAGGTCGAGATAAATCGTATTGTTTGGTGGATGCAGTTTGAACCAGAGTAGCAGCATGGAGGTCGGATCGTCACCAAAATAAATAAATAAGTGGTCCGAAAAAGTCTAATGACAAAATAAATACACATAGCCTAACCTTCCTCAGGCAGTGTGTTTGTACCGGGGACCTTGATGAGAAACTGTAAGAAATGATGGGGGAATCCCTCCGGAGTGGAGTCATGACGACTGGATCTGAATTATTTTTTTGTATTTGGTGGTTTGTGTTCCAGCTTTCGTTCAGCAACTATATATCCATAATCCACTAGTTAAAGGAAATACAACTAATGTGTTGTGTTATATTAGCTGTACAATTTACCACATATGGTGCTCTTAGTTTCCATACCTCCTGGGTTTTAAGAGCGACTTATCAAGTCTTAGCAAACGGCATAAAACACGATTAAACCTGTATTAAACATATATAAAGCCATGCTCGTATCTACAACCTATAGAAATGCAAAACGGCGTCAGTTTAGACGTAATTCTGTCCTCCTGCTTACCGCATCATTTATGAAAAAACATTTCATAACATTAACACAACATATTCGAGGAGGTTTTAAATAACATATCCGTATTTATTTATTTCTCCAAGTTATGTTTTTGTGTGCACTGAGGAGTCTCAAACAGGCGTTTGTTAAATCATTTTAAGATTGGCTTTAATCTCCCTCTTTTTTTCCGCTTAGTGCGTACGCATGGGTTAGAGTTTGCGTGGAGGACCGCACATCACGTCAAGTTAGTATTTTATAAAATCGCAAACATTGCGTAGAAACTGGCGTACGCCATTTTTTGAGCGTATATCCCTTTATAAATGAGGCCCCAGGCTCTGGGTAAAGAGTGAGGGGCTAACTCATCAAGGCACACACAGCGCACAGATGGAGTTTTCCTTTCTTTTTTACTTCAACTAATAGACTAATGAAAACATTTTTATATTAGCCGAGTAACGTTTAGTCGACTATTTGGGGGCAGCCCTATGACTTTCTACATTTTTTATAGTTGGTTTTTTTCATGTAGCTGCAATGTTATCTTTCTGTTTATGTCACATGGTCTTATATATGTATTTGACCGTGCTTTGTTGAAAGATCTGAAAACAAACCTACTTCTCAGTTTTATAGATATTATAAGAGCAATGATGTACGATTTTTATAACCAAAGAAAGAAACTATCAACAATGTATGAAGGTAACAGCTTTTCCTCAGCTGCCATTGTGGTCACTGAACCTACTGAACTGAACTTTGGCAGTAATTACGTGTATAAATAATATACTCACAAGGTGTTCAGTGAAAGCAGTGGGATCAAAAGCAGCGCCTTCCGCGGCAAGTTGGCTGGCTTTCTCCTTGCCGAGGTCTGAGGTCACAACGAGGAGCTGAGCATCCAGAGCAGCTTCTCTCGACTGCCGCACTGCCAGGGAACATGCACAAATATAGGGTCAATTGTTTCAAATATAACATCACAGTACATGTGTTTCGCGTGCATGTTTAAAGATGCTGCTCTGATGGAGAAAAATGTTTTTGGAATGCATTTTCCTGCAGTTCAGTCATGCAACAGGTGTGCAATAGATTGTGGTTGTGTCACTCTACCATCTTTAAAAAGTTTGTTTGCCTCTTCTAAAACTTCTGTGAGCTTGTTGTTGGAGGGACTCAGCATGTCTTCCCTATTCTCTGGAGGGGGGACACAAGAACGAAATACATTAATGACATGCCAACAGAATCCTACCTATACTGCCTTGCCAGACCCTCTGTTTACTCACGTTGCACTGACTGGATGAGTTCTCTGTACTTGCTCCGTATTTCCCTCCGGATCCCCGGGTTATCGTCTTCGTCTTGCATGTCAGCTTGGCCGAGGTCACAACCACTGTTGTCCCCGTCACTTTGGTCCGATTTCCTCTGGCCTGCAGGGGCATTCTGGCGGGGAGCTTCCTCACCATCACCGCCTCTGGCACGTTTCATGATGCGTCACTTAGTGGAAGAGCTGTTTAGTGAGGAGAAACGCAAAACATGATCAATATAAACAAAGTAGGCTACCTCTCTGCTTGTAAATGTTATAACTAATAAATTACCTTGTGACGACAACAACCGTGCGACTATCTGAGTTTGGATCTGGAAGTTTAGCCACGAGATAGAAACCAGCCACTCTAGCTACTTTACAAGATAGTACAATGAAAATTTTGCTAGTGTCATATTAAATATAAGTCGATCAACATAACATCATTAATATAGTGCAGTCGAATTGCCAGTGTCTTACTGTATACATACTAGAAGGAAACGAACCATAGCTAACGTTGGCTTCTGCATAAGGACAGAAGTATCTACTTAACTTTGTATTAAACACTAACTAAGCATTGCATTTGTCTTATATATCAAGTACAGTGTGGTTAACATAACAAAATACATACAAAATATGCTGAAATGTGTTTAAAAACCCAAACTCTGCAAACCAGAAGCAAACTTCTCCCAGATCGGCGGCTAACACTAACACGGAAGTTCCGAACGGTTTACCATCTTGATCTGAGGAAACGTTAGCCGATGTTAGCTAGTACAATCAGTTGTGTTAGCAACGAAGCTAAAACGTCCTACGTCATTTCCTAGCAAAGGTCCCACTGAAAGTAAACTCAGAGCGGGTTATTGTTTAAAACATCAATACATCTGTTTACAATTAATCTAACATAGCTACCTGTTCGGCAGACTGAAGACGCGCCAGGATCATCAAAAAAATGTTGACGTCAACAAAGTTAGATTCTTCTTCTATTAGTTTATGGCGGGCTACAAACCAACGATTAAGGTGAATACCGCCATCTAATGAAACGGAGTGTGTAGCATCATGAGCATAATTTCTCACATAAAAAATAAATAAAACTATATTCTGGATATTAAACCTGTATTTTTTAAATATTTAATTTACATTACATTTTACTTGTTAGACGCTTTTATCCAAAGCGATTTACATACTCAATACTGTGTGGGCAATCCCCACAGGAGCAATTTGGGGGTGAAGTGTCTTGCCCAGGGACACAACGACCGACAACTGCAGTGGGGTTTGAACCTGTGACCCCCTGACCCGAACACCAACGGACAACCCAATACGCTAAAGCCCTTTGCAGCTGCAGTTGTTTATCTCCAATCGGTAACAATCCTTTAATGCTCCATTCCATTCCTAGGTCTACTCTTAAATATTCCTCTTTCTGTTTTAAATCTTCTAAATCCTATTAAATTACAAATCTCACATTAATCCGTTGGTGCCTTTTCGTTTGATAAACAAGGTATCATATAGTTAAGTGTGCCCTAATCTCAACCTGGGAAAAAAACTTCTCTTATACATTTGCCTTTAAAAAATAACCCTCTGACGGAATTTAGAATGTTGTAATAAACTCTACCCTTTGTTTTAGTATTCCATATATCCTGCAAGGATTTAATTATTCCTTGCTGTAATAACGATATTATTTCTGATCCCCCAAAACACATTTTTTAAATATCATTATTTTTATTTAATGCACTTTTTGCAAGTTTGTCTGTGACCCTTTATTCCAAAATGGGCCAGATTCCAACAATCTACTAATCTATCTAATCTATTCTTAATTGTTGTATATTTAGTAATGACACATACTTCAATTAAAATATCCTCTCGAACAGTTTGACCTGATTTCAGAATCTGTAAAAGTTAAAGTCGTTTTTTGTTAGGAATTCTTGTCCCTTGTATCCAATGTATAAACCCATCTCGGACCATTCTCTAATTTGTTCTACTATTTCAATGTTTACTTTATGTTCTGGAAATATCCATGGAGGTACTAATGATTGCAGGTCTGTTCAGAATATTATCTAATTTGTAATGTTTAACTTTCTTATTAATGTCCCATCCAAAAACCTTTGCTGAAAACGAAGTATACTCCCAACAGTTTTGTAAAACAGTTCAAGCTATGATTTGATTACCTATTTCCTGAATTCTTATAGTTTAGAGATAATTTAACTCTCAATAATTCCAATATTAGATTCTACTCGTAATGTGTTAATGGGTGTGGTTTTGCTCGCTCCCAGACTGAGTCTTATTCCTCTGTATTGCTTTTCAATCTGACTTTTTGCTGCTGATTCATACAACCTTAATCCAAAGTAGATCTCATCAGAGTCCTGAATAGTGAGGCTTCTCTTTCAGTTCCCCATTGAAATCCAACTAGACACCGCATTAAGTTTAATACCTTTTTACATTTAGTCTCTATATTTTCAATATGATTCTTCCATCTATATTTTTCATCCAACCACGAGCCCAGATATTTAGACACTTTTACTCTTTCCATAGGTGTACTGTAAAGCAAGTCCCTTTTCATTACCTATTTTATTTTTAGTGAGTAGCATATAGTTCAACTTTGTGATGGAAATCTTTAATCCCCAATTGAAAGACCATCTCTCTACGTTTATGATTGCTTTCTATCTAAATATTTAGTATATGTACCCCTCTTTCAGATTGTTCCATCATCAGACATTACTGTATACCTGTTCCTGTATGTTCAAAGATGTTGTTTATCATGATATAAAAAAGTATAGGGCTGATTACAATCCCTTGAGGTATTCCATTAAGAATTTCAAATGTTTTTTGATATTTCTGATCCTGCTTTTACTTTAAATGTTCTGTAAAATAGAATATTTTTTTTGTTGTTCCAACTGATAATTTAATCTGTGTACAATAATTTTTTTCATCCATTTACACAAATGTGATGTCAGCGCTGTTGGTCTAGTTCTCTGCACTCTGAACGTTTCCCTGGTTTAGCAAATGGGAGAATTAATGCTGTCTTCCATTTATAAGGTAATCTACCTTCAACCTATATCTTATTAAAAAGGTTCAGCATAATTTCCAAAGCTTCTTTTGACAGATGTTTAAACACTAAGTAGGAGTTGATCCTCCCCTGGGGCAGAAACCTTGCTTCAAGCCCTTTTCAGTTCTTTGAATTCCAAATCCATTGTTGATCTAATTTCTTCCGTTTATTCATATCTTTTCATAATTTATTATAATTATTTCTTATGTTTGTGAATTTCATTGAGGTGGTTTCCACTGTGAACATTGGAAAATACATTTCCTAGAAGGTTAGCTTTGTCCCTATCCATCATTGCTAAATTAATGCTGTCTGCAAGAACTGGTATCAAACAGGTATAGTCGTAGGTTTTTATCCATATTCCATACCTGGCCCACACCTCTCTCTCTACCTATTTAGGAACATGTTGTCTCCAGGTGTTCCTTTCAGCTGTTTTGAGTATTTTGCATGCTATGGCTCTCTTTCTTTAATATTCTATCCGATTTTCTAGATTCAGATTTTTCCTCAGGTTTCTGAGACCTCAATTTCTTTCTTTTACAGTCACTCATCATTCCACCACCACTTTCTTATTTCCTGTAATCATAGTTTTAGGTATACCTATGGAATCATTATCATTTCTGTCACCTCAATTGTACATTCAGCTACATTACCAATTTCATTCTAATGTTGCTATAGCTAAAAAAAAGTACACCATTCTTTAAGTGTGTCCCATTGAGCCTTTTGAAAACAGCATGTACTTTCTGGGATATTTTTGTCATTCTATATTATAGAACAAATAATAGTAAAGTGATCAATACCAATATTATTTTTGTATATTTTCCGTTAACTTGCTATATTTGAAGGAACAATGTTAAATCAATCAAGGCATGACATCTTATTCCTATGAATATCTATTATTGTTCCTCTGCCATTATTTAAACAGACATGTTCCTTGAATCCATAATTTCTTCAATAACGGTTCTATTGTTATCAGTGTGATCACTTCCCCATAAACTACTTTGAACATTGAAGTCGCCACACACATTTACTTTTTGAAATGTTGAGCTGTCTCAGTGTGTCACCTACAGCTGAGGTTAGTAGTGCGCTTGTCTGGAGAGACGCAGCTAATCCCTGCTTGACCTCTCCAAGGGAAAGCCGAAAGCATGCACCTACAGGGGGGATAGCAGCACGGGAGCAGAAACCACTGTTCGCACCTGAAACAATTATCCAGGTAATAACTATTGTTTTATCATGGGGGAGCTGAGGACCACGTCTCCCGGGCTTCGTTTGGACCTGAACAACTTTGACTCTGCAGAAGCGGAGCGGAGTCGCTACGTCTTAACGAGTCCCCGCTCATTAGAGTCCTGCACGAGACTTGGTGTCAAACCTGTTGAACTTCTGATCAAATCGCTAAACGAGTTGGTAGCTGACCAGCACCACGTGCCCTATGAGTCCATGAGAGTCGTGCACGAATCCTACGAGAAGGAGAGAATGAAGCATTTACAAATGTGTCGCGAGGAGAGGGAGAGGATTATCCGGGCGGCTGCTAGAGACAGGTGGCCGGGCAGTGACAAAGTGCCCGGCCCGGAAGTGGTGCCTGACTCCAAACTGAAGGATCACTCAAGGGACAGAGACACAATGAGCTGTATCCCGTATGCAGATCTGTGTGTTAAAGGGAAATCTGCCAGCAGGTCCTCTTACAGAGAGCCAGACAGTAGCACCGTGTGCAGCGTCAGTCTGGGAGACCTCAGATACACTCCAGCCACTGAGATGAAGCTAGAGAGGCTCACCAGGGACATCAACAAGGAGATGTGTGTGACACTGTCAGAGAAGGATCGCAAGATAGCAGCTCTCATGTTGGTGAAGCACCAGGAGGAGCAGGCCTGCCTGAATGTCTGTCAGCAGGAGGAACAGAAGCGACAGGAGGCCCGCAGGCAGCAGGAGGCCCAACGCGCTGAGGCAGAGAAACAGAGGAGGAAGAAACTGAGACGGAGCCTGCAACGCTGGCACGATGATCTGGAGGGCCGCAGGAGACTAAGGGAGCGTAAGGAGAAGGAGAAAGCGGTACAACTGGAGCTGGAGGTGGTGCTGCAAGAGGACCGCTGGAGGAGGCAGAAAGAGGAGGTGGAGGGACACCATAGGGAGAAAATAGAGGCTGCACACAGAGAGGCAGAGGGGCGAAAACACAACCAGGAGACGCTGCTGAGGGGAAGGGAGGAGGTGGAAAAAAGGGAGAGAGAGAGGGAGAGACATGTGGCAGAAGAGAAGAAGCAGAGGGCCAGGAGGAGCAAAGTGTCCCAGGAGAGGGAGGAGAGGAGAAGGCTGCAGGAGGGGAACCGCAGGGAGCTGCTTCGACACATCCTGCTGAAACAGAAGACGGAGCAGCAGGGGGTGGAAGAGGTGGAGCAGATGAGGAGCACGTTTGACATGAAGATGAGATTATCCTGCGAGAAACATGCCCAGGCTGTGGATGCTCGGGTGAGGGACGTGCAGGAGAGGGCAGCCCGGGAGGAGCTGCAGATTCAGAGAGCGCAGCTGAGGTCCAAGCTGCAGAGCTATCAGGAGCTCACACACAAACAGATCCTGGTTCAGCTGAGTCAGCGTCGCTCGGAGAGAGCCGGCCTGCACGCAGAGGCCCAGCAGAGGAGCAGGTCTGAGGAGGCGCAGCAGCACAACCAACACAGGCAGACCTCCCACCTTAGGCTGAGGGAGAGGAGGCAGAGGGAGGAGGAGGAGGAGAGGAAGGTCACAGAGAGCTGCATCTTCATGAAGGATGTGAGGAGGGAGAGACTGAGGAGGCAGAGGGAGCAGATTCAGGAGGAGGCGCACAGGCTGGCCCGCGCTTCCTTTCACATGAGGGAGAGGGTGAGGCAGCACACACACAGCCGGACGTTTGATCAGATGGCCCGGGAGGCGCAGCTGACCGCCTCAATGAGGTGCATGAAGATATGAAAGACTCTCCACATCAACTGCCGCTCTCATAGGCTTTGATAGCCTACAGTTCAGGCATTAAATAACAGAATATATATATAGGAATTTAAAGACAAACCCCTCCTGCAATCATAAATGTGTATTGAGGATGAGCTAAACCCTTATGTGAATGATTTGGACCTGAGAGTGTTTGCGCTGCACATGAGCTACAATGGATCATCATGTATCAGAGCTGTAGGGGTTGTTTTTTTTACAGTTTAATTTGATGAAAGTCCCTGAGATTGTGCCATATTTATAAATGTATACGTTTACGATGACATTTAAATATATTTAAAGTTGAGAATAAATCTTTGGAGTTCTGTCTGACCTCGTAGTAACCCCCCATCAGCATAATTAACAATAAAGTTGTGCTCTACTGAAGTGGTATTATTTTGTATGTTGACCCTTTGAAATAAAGCTTGTTGTAACCCCCCCATGTCAGGCTGCATATATCTATGAGATGTGAAAACTCAACCAGACTGGTTTTAGCTTTTCAAATATAACCAAATAATGTATAAAAGACACAACTTGAGAAAAGTATGATACAATATTTGTTCTCTTTATGTTGTATCTTGTGAATCATTTTAGATCCCATTGCTGTAATGTATACCCAGCTTAACAAAAACATGCTCTGTGAGCCACAGCACATCATTTTTTGCTTAGCTTATATACTGTACGACTGCACGTGATGGTTTATTGTTCCAACACCTCCTCAAATCAAGCAGTTTGTTTTGAGTGATCCAGGCGATGACAACATGTATTTACCACCCTACAGTGTTTGGTAGGTGTGTTCACATGAAAGGGTTGGTATTTGGAGGCATTCGACCAATCAACAACATGGACAAGCGTACTGACAGTGCAGCGCGTCATACTTCCTGAATGAAAGTCAACTATAATATTAGACAACATATGAAGACGTTCAACTTTAAAACATCCATGACTTTAAACACTTTTATCCAGGATAAAAGCCACATAGCTGCACCTGCAAGGTGAATACAGCTGGTAAAAGAAAAAGTGTTTGAATGCGTACATTAACAGGTTTATGATATCACTGCCCCGTCTAATACCTCATTCACACCAACGGTGTTTTAGGNGGGGCACCTCTCCAGTGGGCTTTCTTACATCTGCACCCACCAACAGGGCACTGCCGCCGTGACACACCTAAAGGTTACTGCACACAGAGGTGGGAGGAGTAGGTAAAAGTAGAAGTAACAGAGTGTAGGAATACTCTGCTACAGTAAAAGTCCTGCATTCAAGATGTTACTCAAGTAAAAGTACAAAAGTATTAGCATTAAAGTATACTTAAAGTATACTTAAAGTAGCGACAGTGAAAGTAGTGATTGTGCAGATTGGTCCATTTCAGAATAATATACTGTAGGCTATATGATATGTTTTATAATGATTGATCATGAAAGTGTTCTCAAAGCTGGTAAATGTGCAGCTAGTCTGAATGCCTTTGTATACTGCAGGGTAGCTTGTGGATTTACTCCAGGTGGAACTAAAGTCTGATTTAACACTTGATTATATTTCACATCATTCATCCACATCTGTGAAGTAACTAAAGGGATTAAATACATGTAGTGGAGTAAAAGTACACCATCAACCTCTGAATTATAATGAAGTAGAAGTACAAAGTAGTATTAAATGGAAACAAGTAAAGTACAAGTCTCTCAAAATGTGACTTAAGTACAGTACTTGAGTAAATGTAGGGCAGTGCTTATCAGCGGGTCAAACAGGCAGACTGCAGACCAGAGAGTCATACTGTATGTCAAGAGAAACAATAAAACAATAAGGTAAGGGCTTAATTAAGCAACAGTTATCAATCTACAGCTATTTTAATCATTGTTCAATCATTTCAAGAAGTATCACCTCAATCAAGCAAACTGTATTTATATAGCACTTTTCAAACAAGAAGGTAACAGAAAGTGCTTCACAAATCACAAAGAAAGTATACCCCTCCCTTTCCCAGCTAATAAATTGTGATTGATAAAACTTGAAACCAATAGAAGTCAATAAACACAGGGCTGAATAACATAAATACATAAATAAAATAAAAAGAAACAAGAACAGAAGAAAAAGGAAAAAATATAAATGTTATAGTTAATTAAACATTTTTTTTAATAAGCCACATTAAAAAGGTGGGTCTTAAATTGGCTCTATCTGCAGTAAAATCTAAAATTGAGAATTAATATGCATTCAAAACGCAAAAGAGGCAAATCGTGATCGAATCATGAGGCCAGCGAAGATTCATAACTACAGAATCCGTATTTTTCTTTGGCCACTTTCTAATCACAACATTTGCCGATATACAGGTTATTGTTGCGAAAAATGTAAAGAGGCCCTCCTTCACTCCATTGTAATGATTCCTATTATCTGACATATAATAGACTAAGCAGCAATTACAAAACATTACTTACACTGACAGAAACATCCTTTGTTGGTATCACAGCCACAATGAGCTTGTCTTTTTGCAGTAATAAACATTTGCATATCATGAATTTCTCCCCATTCAATTCACCAATCAATATACTCAATAAGATACTGAATGCGTTTCAGTCAAAAATGTGTATCTTCAAATTAAAATATTAAACGTAATACATTGTCAAATTCCAAAACATTACATTAAGAAGTAAAATTCTGTTTGCTGCACAAATTATTATTAGTATTTATAATACGCCTGACAGACATCAGATTTAACTGATGCCAGGGCCTTTGTGAAATCAGAGCTCATTAGCCGAGTCCACATCATGATGCGCTCCATCAGGAGGGATGGACCTGGCTGCTGGGATCCAGAGTCACACGGCGCAGCGTCAGACCGCATGTGAACACCAGATCTGCTTTGAAGCCCAAACACTCAGATCTGGATCCGCGTGTCAGAGAGCCAAAAGTCCCGGACTGTGAGAGACGGGGGATCTGCTTTTCAGTTGGCTACCTGTTGAGGAGGATTAAACGAAATACAGATGGTGTTTACATATTTAACAAACAAAGGCAATCTCTCTTCTGATCCTGGAAAAAACATTTTCTACCATGAGAGGTTGTAGTTAGAAGTGGCAAAATAACTTGTAATGTTGGAAAAATGCCGCAAAAGGCCTCCTTGGAAGCCCCTAAACATGGTAAAGTTCCCTCTAAGGTGCCCATTCAGTGGAGAAAATATTCTTAAAGCCTTCTATGAAGCGCTTTAATTAAGAAAATTCCCTCAAGAGTGGCTATAAAATTAAGAAAACATGATACATCTGGAGCATTTTTTTCATTTTTACCTCACACGTTGAAGTCTGCCACTGAACTGTGGATGTGAGGTAGTTTGGGGTCCTCTGATTGGTAGGTTGGTTCGATCCCAGGAGTCAACTTCCTTGGGCAAGAAACGGTGGGTTACGTATTGTAACCCTAGTTACATAAGCACAGGCGGAGCCCTCTACTGGACTCTATGGGTACTACCTCTCAACCATACTATGCGAGCATGCATCAACTGAAATATCTATAACCGTAGCCGGCCCCCCTGGGGCGGGCCTACCTGAATGCACGCGCAAATCCACCGTATATAAGGCGGCCACGCCTCTTGGCTGTCATCCTACACTTCTCTTCAGCGAGCAGCATAAATGGACTGTACTTATATAGCGCTTTATCCAGTCTTTAAGACCCCTCAAAGCGCTTTACATACTACATGTCATTCACCCATTCACACCCATTCATACAGAGCAGTGGACCTTACTCTAGGACCTAACATTCACACACATTCACACACCATTGGCCATGCCATCGGGAGCAACTCAGGGTTAAGTATCTTGCCCAAGGATACATCGACATGTTGACTGCATGGGCTGGGATCGAACCCACAACCTTCTGGTTGAAAGACGACCGCACTCCCTCACAGCCACAGTCGCCTAGCATAGGACAGACAGGGCCCCGAGTAGAGGGCTCCGCCTGTACTTATATAACTAGGGTTACAATACGTAACCCACCGTTACATCTCACTTAGACTGGGATACATGCAATCATTTTATTGGAACGTGTCACAACAGATGCATCATACAGGGAGGAGGCGGAATTTGCCCTTGCGTCCTGGGTGGAGAAAGTGACTCTCTCCGCCGGGACGCTTCCTCCCACCGCCAGTCAGCTTCTGGAGGACGGTGCACCCCACCCAGAAGCCCTTTGCTGAGGCGGAGCCGTAGCAGGAGCCTGTCGGCGTCGGTCAGCCCGTCCCAGCGAGTGCTGGTATTGAGCCGGTTCTCCAGGACGAATCGCGGAGGGAGAGGGAGCATCGGGAGCCACGGGGGCTCTATACCGGCGGCTCTCTCTCCGTCTTACCACCGCCGGGCGCTCTCTCCCAAGAGGAAGAGCCTCAGGACGAACCAGCGGTAGCACGCGGCTGAGCTGCGCCCACTCTTCCTCCAAGCGACTTAAGCGCTGGGTGACCGAGGTGATCGACCCGAAGAGCCATTACGTGGATACGGGGGCCCCAAGGAGACCATCCCGGTCCTTTTTGGACAGTGCGGTCAGACCCAGCCACACGTGACGCAATGCCATTGTGGCCAGGGACATCACACGTCCAGCTGCGCTAGCCTTACCGTGGACCAGATTATTCATCTGGCCCACGCCGCGGTCCGAATAATCCTTCATCTTCCTCCTCGACGAACGGAGCCGCCCGGCCCGCTGGCATGGCGAACACGAAGGGCACCCCGACATCCTACTCCTCCATCTCCACCACCTCGAGGTCCCGGTCCTCCGCCTCTTCCGGCGAGACATACTTCGCCTGGAAGTGCTCCAGACACCGGTGGCGGCTGGGCCGCGCGATCAGGTGGCAGGCGTTGCAGGCCGGGGTCTGGATCAGGCCGGCCGCCGCGTGGTCAGGCCCCAGGCACTCCAAGCAGCGGCGGTGGAGATCGGCACCCGCAATTAAGCCCGGGCACGAAGGGCAGGGGTCGTTGCTCCATTAGTGGTGAGTCCATGACTTTTCCTTTCAACTTTCTGTCTTTTCTCGTCTTAGCTCAGTTGTTTCCTTGCTCGCTGAAGAGAAAAGGATGACAGCCAGGAGGCGAGGCCGCCTTATATACAGTGGGCTTGCGCGCGCATTCAGGTAGCCCCGCCCAGGGAGCCGGATACGGTTAAAGCATATTTTAGTTGATGAATGCTCCGCATAGTATGGTTGAGAGGTAGTACCGATAGAGTCCAGTACGGGGCGAACCCTGAGATAAAACCTAACCCAAAATGCTCCGAGTGGCCGGTTGTCTGATATTCTTTCCTGACAGGTGGAAACCTATAAATGTATCATGTAGAGACGTACAGACTGGATAAAGCGCTGTGTAAGATCCAGTCTTTTACAATGAACAGTTCTGGAGCATTTCTTCAAATCATCACCATTTGGCAATCAATAACTTTCTTTAAAGTGTTCCACTAGCATTCCTCATGAGTCCTCTGGCTGCAGACAGGAAGTCCATGCAAGTGTTTTTTTGGCCTGTGAAACACGAAT